TTTAACACCATCAAGGGTGAAGCTATCCTCAATTTTCATCAGGACTTTAGTGCATGTGAAGGTGAGGCTGAACCCTTCTCTACCTAGCCATGATTGTGATAAAAATGCCCCCAGCATTCTGTTGCAATTAGCCTTAGGCTAATTGCAGGTTGTGTATGGATCTTGGAGGAGACTCCTGCGAGTCCCTTGGACCGCAAGGCGATCAAACTGGTCAGTCCTAGAGGAGATCAACCCTGATTGCTCTTTAGAAGGCCAGATACTGAAGATGAAACTCAAATACTTTGGCCACCTACTAAGAAGGAAGGACTCCCTGGAGAAGAGCCTAATGCTGGGAACAACTGATGGCAGAAGAAGAAGGGGACGGCAGAGGATGAGGTGGCTAGATGGAGTCACTGAAGCAGTCGGTGTGAGCTTGAGTGGACTCCGGGGGATGGTGGAGGACAGGAAGGCCTGGAGGAATGTTGTCCGTGGGGTCGCGATGGGTCGGACACGACTTCGTGACTAACAACAACAAATGTATCTTGCAGAGATTGTAGCTGGGGAGGGAATGGCTTCCTTTTGATGAAAATTTCTCTTCCTGTAACTAGTACTATTTATTAATTTATTAAACCATTTCTATGCCGCCCCTTGCCGAAGCCTCGGGGCGGCTCACAGCATAGAATAAAATACACAATAAATTAAGACAATAACAATTAAAATATATACATTAGAATAAAATAAGCCGCCCTGGCCAAATAAAATTCAATAGTATTAACATTTAAAATGCTGCTTAAATGAAAAGGTCTTCACCTGGCGCCGAAAAACAAATAACGACGGCACCAGGCGGACCTCTCTGGGGAGCGCATTCCATAGATTGGGCGCCACCGCTGAGAAAGCCCTCCTCCGAGTAACCACCCTCCTAATTTCCTTCACTGAGGGCTCCCGCTGATCTTTACATGCTTAAAAATCCCTGAAATTGAGTTTACAAAAAAAGACACTGACCTGGTGACTTATTTTGAGTTAGTTAACTTATGGTTAACTAAGATTCAGTGTGGTATGGTGGTTAGAACACTGGACAAGGGTAATCAGGAAATCTGTCTCTTGGTTGCCACTCAGCCATGAAGATCACTAGATGCCTTTGAGCCAGTGGCAGACTCTCAGCATACACTACTTCACACAGTTGTTTGTGCAGATAAAATGGAGTGGAGGAAAACTGGAAGTTGCATTGGGTTCCACACATGAGGAAGAAAGGCAGAATATAAATACAGTGTAATAATTATTAACCCTGGCATTTGTCTTGGCCTTTGATGGTGTAATTCCCTATTTGGCTAATGATGTTTGTGTTGTGTCATCTGAACCAGTCCTCATGGGTTGACCTTTCATTTTAAGTGACAAACCCTTGCTTCATCCATAATTTCCAGTCAGGATCAGTGTCTGTTATTTAGCCCTTGAAGAACCTTGAAGACCGCTTTGTGTATTTTATTTAATTATTCATTACATTTATAACCCACTTTCTTTTCTCTTGTAAGGAGGCAAGGGGGGCTTAGAAAGTGCTTCTCTCCAGTTCATCCTACACACTATCAGAATGACAAGCACATACAGCAGCTTGCTGTGTGTTATTGCAGCTCATAATAAGAAGAGGTGTCTACCTAGCGTAACCCACAATGAATTGGCCATATCATGCAAGCCAGACCATAGGTGAAAGGTCGTTGAACACCCCTGGGTTTTACTGATGAATATAGGCACTGGCTGCAAAACATGGAGCATGTTTCAAATATAGGGTTCCCCATTCAGCATTGACATAAGTTAGCTTTTTTTCCCTGTGACTTTGTAGGTGAGCCAAGAAATGTCTAAACTGGCTTGTACTTAGCATGGCAAGGTCTACAATAGTGGTCAAAGATAAAATGAAAGTTAAAGGTGAAATAAATCTACTATGCATCTTTTTATTATTTGGGGTGACAGGACATGCTGAGAAATTTGGACTGATATGCAAGGCAATTCTATGCATGTTTACACAGAAGTATGCCTCCTTGAGATTTACTCCCAAACAAATGTGCATAGAGCTAGTAATACAGAACATATATTCTTTAAAACGAGTGGATAGTTTATGGCCCATACAATACTTTGGCCTTGAACACACTTAATGGTAAGAGATGGTGGACACTGTAGACAAAACATCTGGCAAGCTACATGTTTTCCATCGAGGCAAAACCTTTTAGTTCGCATCAAGGCTTTATCCTGGTTTTCTAAAAAGACGGTTCTATCTGCAGGGAGTCCTCTTTTTTCCATTTTGGAAAAGCACACTCCTCAACTAAGAATGTTACTGTGCAAGGGAATCTCATACTGATACTGCTTGTACAGCATGTTCCAACAGTGCTGGTCAAGTGAATGCTCCTGTCTGTAGGGTCAGGGATCTGTGGGGGCTAAATCCAGGTACCATGCTGACTGTTATAGTATTCAAGCCCACATTTGGGAACTCATGATTCTTGAAAAGTGGTCTGTGCAGACAAACTCAAGACCATCTAGCATCACTTTGTAGAGCAGCCTTCTCCAGCTTGGTGACCTCCAGAAGTTGGAGTACAACTCCCATAATCCCCATCTAGCATAGTTTTAGTCCAGCACATTTGGAGGATGCCAGATTGGGCAAGGCCTATTCTAGAAATACAGTAGTCGCAATAAAAAGATGTTCTCCTAAAGTTTCAATTTTACCAACTGTGGTCAAGGACAGAATTGGACAGTGATTAATCTGGCATAATATTCTGCCTATATTGCAATATTTTTCTTATCAGGACAGCTTGGGTAAGAAGGCTCTGCTTTAATAGCCTGCTGGGGTTTTTTGGTTTTCAAAAACTGACCTGTCAGTAAAAAAAACAGCTTCTAGTATTCATGGAATACTTTTGCTGTTGTTGCATATGCCTATGAGGCTTGACCATTCCTGAGAGAGTACTTGTGTCTTGACAGATGTAACATTTCAGCAGCTTCTGTGTTCAAAGACTGAAAAAAGTGTTGTTGCTGCCACAGAAATTGCTAATGGCCATATGTGATGAGTATTTCATAGATTCAAGGCAGAGACCTGTGCATGTTTAGACAGAAAAGGTACTGCAAAGGCTGGCAAGGGAATGTTGAGGGTTGTAGGGCTTATTTTCTTATCTAAACGTGCATAGAATTGCTCCTTTAGGTTGTCTTATCTGGATGAGTACCTAGGAGTGGTTAGGACAATTTAGGTGTACAATTGAGTATTGTGTGAATTGTTCTCAAGACCGTGATTTCTTCTGAATCTCTTAGCTCCAATTGCTGGGTATGTACAGAGAATGAAACACCTTTCTTGATGTGAGGAATGGCACTTGAGTTGCCTGACAAGAATGTCATGTCTTGAATGTTCTAACCAGTGCTTTTTTTTGTAAAAAAAAAAAAAAAAGTGCTGGAACTCATGTCTTGGGGTCGCACTTTTACACAATAGTCGCTGCCAGCAGTAAGCACTCAGCGCGTGACCACACGACCGATCCCAAGCCGAGCAGCATCCCAAGCGGAGCAGCTCCCTCACAATCAGCGCCCACAATCAGCGCTGACACACAAGCAGCCCGCAGGCGCTATGTTAATGATTTTTGCCACTGATCTGCTATGCCCAACAGGGCGATTCACAATCACTTGGAAAAACCTGTCAAAAAAAGGTGCCGGAACGCTGTTCCGGTGCATTCTATGACAAAAAAAGCCCTGGTTCTAACATTTATGTATTTATCAGATTGAGTCATTATATTCTAGTCATCATAAGGGCAATTTGTGAAAAACAAAGCCAGTAGTAAAAATATGCTGCTAAATTTCTAAATGTAGAAATAGGAGTGAATATAGAACAGGAATGGGAATGTATGGTTCTCCAGATGTTGATGTGCTGCAGTGTCCTAGAAGACCTGGGAGGCCACCCTTTCTAAACTCCTAAAGCTGCTTTTCCCAACCTTTTGTTAGAGCCTAACTTCATTTTTTCCCAGCCACCAGTCAGTTGTGATCCAACACATCTGAAGGCACCATGTTGTGAATGCACCTCTAGACCAGGAACGGGAATAGATTCCAGGGTTGCCATCTAGAATAGCAGTACATTTTTGATGCCTGGAGTTTTCGCTTATATTGAACTTGTGATAAAGTCTGTAATGTGGATTGGCTTAGCTGGGCTGGTGGCACAGCATGTCCTGTTGCTCAGGGAACTTATATTTGCCATTTCACTTAGACTTGGGACAGCCTGGAAAAACACAAGGGAAATGTTTGTGGGGGAGGGGAGAGAATGGGGTTTTTCTAGGGTTTTACTAAGATTTTTTTAAAGTTTGAAAACATTTTGCTCATACCATGAAAGAAAGTATTTTACTGGATCTGTACCCCATCAAGAAAATGTATTGTGAAAGTGTTCATTTTTTCCTTCAAAAATCCATGGAAAAAGATTTGTCTTCATGACTCCATTTTTTAAAAATGTTCAGTTCTAGTTCTGCTTCTCTGAGTGAAGAGGATATTATTATTTCACCTGGTGTTAAAGCCTTACAGGCTAAGATTGGAAACGGGTTCCAGGAGGCTGTAGAGAATGGAAAGATAGGGAGTCCTGTAGGAGGTAAGTGGATGGAAGGGTGCTTAGTAAGGGACAGAAACAAGGTAACTAGAGAAAGGTTGTTTGAAGCATGGGCTTGAAGAAAAGGGCTGACAAAACATGGAACTGAGGCAAGAAAAGATTATGTGTAGAGGGGGCTGAAGAAGCTTGTCAAGGCCTGGCCCTTAAGATGTGTGCAAATATTTCTCATTTTAAGTGGAGGAACAAACAAAAGGTGATATCCTTCCCCCTGCTTCTGACAAATATTTGAAATCTCTTCCTGATTAAACATCGTAGACATGCAGGATGTTGTTATCAGCTCTTGTGGAAAGCCTGCAAGGAGGTGCATGGATGCATCAAAAAGTTCCTGTTTGTCACCACAGGTATAAGCATAATGCTTCTGATTCACCTGGACTATAGAATCACCTGGACTAATTGTGATTGATAGTGATTATCATCCATGATATCCACAAAATATTGATGTGCATGTGAAAGAATTTACTTTGTAATGCAGTGGCTTTTGTTTTTCTTCTTTGTTAGGTTTGTTGGGGGAGAGCTGAATATTTGCTATAATGCTATAGATCGCCATATTGAGAATGGACAAGGGAATCAGATTGCAATCATCCATGACAGTCCTGTAACGAATATGAAAGAGTTTATAACTTACCAAGAAGTTCATGAACAGGTGTGTTTAATGACTGTTTCTAGCAAGCAAAATGGTCAGGTGAAATTGAACAGAATTGTAATGAAATGGTAAAAAAACAAATAGAGAAATCACATTTTTTCTATCTACTTTGAATGCACTAAGAAGTGTTCTGATACCAAGGGAAAGTGAAGCTGTGTGAAACCATGCTTCTTAAAGTTCAGTTTATACAGTTGGGTTTGAATCTGGGTTATATAAATTGCTGTTTACTGCTACTGAACTTGCTATATAACAATGAATTTCTTTTCTTTCTGCTATTTTTTTTGTCTGCTGTCATAGTTCAGATTCCGAAAATAGTGCCAACCTCACATTTGAATTTAGTTTTTCTTAGGGAGTGTACATGGATACCAACTATAAAACATACGGCTGTACAGCAGGTGAACAAATGAAAGAGCTGCTGTGATACTGTCTTTGACCTTACGTGGCTATAAACAAATGAAGAAATTGTGTAATTAATTTGTACTGAATGGGCAGCAATTCATATACTTAGCTGATATGCAAACATCAGAGCAATATGACAGTGGAACCAGTCGCCAAGAGAGGTTGTGTGCTCTTCCACGATGGAGACATTCAGAATGAAACTGGACAATTACCTGAGTGGAATGGTGTAACAGGCATCCTGCACCTGATGGCCTTCTTGGCCCTCTTCAACCCTACTAACTATGATCCCATGATTTTTATAAGGCAAACAGTATTTGTAGGATTTATAAACAAGTCATATGTGTGAAAAACAAACAAGAAAGCCAGGTTTCTTCATGTGTATATGTATTTGATGGAACCGTCTGCAGTTGGAATCTTTCTCCCTTACTTCCTGGTAAATGTGCAATGTAAGTCCCATGGAATTCAATGAGAATTCCCAGGTAACTGCTTATGACAGCAGCCTTAATGCATTTTATTCACAACCTTATAGACTTATGCACAACCTTTCTGTTCTGCCTCTGGGATCACTTGAGTTACACTATTCTTTCAATGTAGGCTTCCTATGGTAGGCCAGGATCTAGAAAACCACAGAAAGTTGTCCGTAGAATGTGCTTTTCTTGAAGAGTTGAAAGGTTCCAGATTCTGCAAAGCACTTCTGAAACTGAAGGGACTCTAAAATCAATATGTGACTCAGCATGGGGAAGAGGCTGTTCAAATGAAAGAAATAAATATTTTGCTGAGCATGCCTGAGTCTTTGGATTAATTCAAATTGCTCTTTGCATTCTGGTGTGAGATTCTAATAGCTAATGTCTGGCCTCTGCTTTCCCCCATTTAATTGCTCAGACTTAGTTTTGAAGAAAAAGGCTTATATTATAGAAGTAGGTGCTGCTCTGGCAAGGATACAAATGCCTGGTTTCACACATTTATAATAGCACAGTGTGTATTGCAGCTTTTCTCCCTGTTAGAGCCATTATTGAATTGTTTAAGTCTTCGAGCAGCATGAGGGTGCAATGCAATGGCTGGTAAACACTGTCTCGACAGCCTTGGAGAAGGGGTGGTGTTCTGTTGTAGCAACTTCTGAGCTCTTCTGCCATCAGAGGGTCCCTGCACCACCCTTTTAGCTGGTGCAGTTCTTTCTCAGCAGGAAGTAGAGTCCAGGCAGGAGACACCACCAGTTACTGCCAGTCTAGGTGATGCCGCAACCCATTGCTTCTGATTCATATTTGCTGGCCATGACACATTGAGTTTTACCGGTTTAGTCAAAAGCTTCCTTAAATATGATTTGGTTCAGTATCAAAACTGGTCAGAGTAATCAGTACTTGACAGTTATTTGTTGTAGAAGGCTGTATTGTCTTCCTCTTCAAATATATCTGTATAGACCAATTTCAGTCCTGTGCAATCTAGAATGTTAGGACAGGAAGCATCTCTTTTCTCTATCTAGGCTTAGCTCTGTGGGGGAGACACTGCTGCTATGTGTTCCAGACTTTAAAAAAGCGAAATGTCTCATGGCACAGAAATTTACCTTCACCATGGAGATGCAGTCTTTAGAATACGCTGTCACCAGAAGGTCATTAGCCATGTATTTGGTGGCATTTTGTTGGCAGCTTGGAATCGGTTTTTTTTATGAAGGCATGCAGCATGGAATGGTGGTGATTTGAGTTCAGTTCTTTGCAGCTTCCTTGGGAGAGGCAGGACTTCTTGATGCTTCTTTTGGAATTGTGGTTATTATAATTAAGAATATTTGTTAAATGTCTCAAGTGCCATTTTGCTGATGGATAGAGAGGTGTAGAAATCATCATCATCACTGTGTTCCTTTCGTATTGTTGGTTACAGTAATCCTTTCACCAACGTAATATTCAAAGGAATGGAATGATATTTATGAATTATTTATAATTTATCACAATCACTTTATGAAATTGCATTTCAGGTTAGGCTGAACTCTGAAGCTGTGCTGACATTCTTTATAAGAACTTTTCACTTCAACTGTCTTTAGCATTCTGAGCTGTATGTAATGTTAATGTATTTTTAATAATGTAGGTTTTGTGGAAAGAAGTGTTACGCAAGTGCAAACTGACTACTGTACTTTTTGAGTGTTTTTAGCCATATAGAGACACCTTTGACATTTTAAACTGATCACCTTTAGGAACTTTCAACTGAGAATAGATGTAAAAGGAACCTATCAGAAAGTGTGGCATTGTGCCACCTGGTTCAGCTGTTAGAAATGACCCAGATTATTACACAGATGAAAAAGAGATTGGACCCTTACAAATAACTTCCCTAGGGAGGGGATTATTAGCAAGGAAGGGCAAAGATTGAGAGGCCATGTGACTGGTTGCTTTGCAATCTTAAAGGAGATTGTGCTTGAAGGCTGAATTTTTGTACCCATGCATCTGGAAGTAAACCCCATTGATCTCAGTTTGATGTATATCCAAACAGACATGGCCAAGTAGCTTTTTGAATAGCTTACTCTTGTCTCCTAGTTTTATGGTACAGTTCTGTAATCCCTGGGCATCCTAAGAACCTTTGGATATAGTGCATGCTATCTTTGCCTGTGGAAAAGGTCTGCAGGCAGAAGGTAAGAGCTACCCTCACAAACTTCAGGGTGGGAGACAGAATCCTCTGTTGCCTGCATTGCTGTGTTGCCGCAATAACAGCAAATAAAGGGCGCTGTAAGGAGTGAAATGGATCAGACTTCAGATCCACTGGGTCTGGAGCCCTCTCATTCTGGGAACATGTCCCTGATGTGGGCAGTACATATACTGGTAAGCTGGAATTCTTTTCCCACTTACCATTATGACCATTCTGTAAGGGAAACTATGATAAAAGAAGACCCCCTTTCCCTGGATGCTCCTTACCTTTGGATCTGGCAGCTGTTCCACCTTGGATTCTCCCTCTCTTGCACCAAAGGATTGCCCAGCCTGTTTTTTTCCAGGTTTCAGCTACCTTTCTTCAACCCTTTTCCCTATTCACTTTTCCTTTGTGCAGTATGCATGGTTGCTAATGGAATGGATCTGTAGTGAAAGCATGTAAGATAAGCACAAGCTCTTATAGGTTCACCATATCCAAGCAAATGTATATTTCATAAATTCCACAGTTTCTACTATGCAGAGTTTCTAATCTGCTTCTGATATATAGGATGCAGGGTTATGGATTGGGCTGTAGGCTTTTAAGCCTAAAATCAATGTTCTCTCTCTCCAGTTAATGAGTCTCTCCTGCTCACTATTTTGTAGGCAGACTAGAGATAAAACAATGGTTCACTGCACAATGTACTTAAAAGGGGGGAAGAGGTGCTGTCCAGAAGTGCTTCCATTTGTGCATTTTTAAAGGTTCAACTTGATGTATATCGTTTTGCTAAATTTTGTTCTTCACTTACAGGCTGTTCCCTTTAACTATCACCATTGTCTAACTCTGTAAAGCAACCTTCCTTAATCCCTTTAGGTTTTTTGGACTACAACTCCCAGCACTCCTGACCACTGCCATGCTAGCTGGAACTGATGGGAGTTGAAGTCCAAAACATCTAGTGGGCATCAGTTTGGGGAAACTGCTGCGGAGGAAGCACCAAAGCCTCTCAATTTGGTAGCAAAAAGTGCTACAGATCACAGCTCATTTGGGAAAAAAACTACATAGCAAGGAATAACCAATTATTTTGAAGAAGTAGGAAATGGTTATTGCTAGCTTGCTTCCAGATTTTCACAGCAAAGGTGCCATCTTTGCATTTAATTCAGCTCCATTAACACACTGCTTCTCACGTTGTGCATACTGATCTCAAAGGAGAAACTGACAAAGCTTTCTAATTTATATATACTGCATCAGCTTTGATGCATATCTCATTTCTAAATCCATAGACATTAGATAGAATGTGATAAATATGATTGAATTACTTACTTGGGAGTAATCCTTTCCACACGCTTGCTATAAGTTACTGTGGTTTGCTTGGTTTCCAACAAATAGTTTATGAGCCACTGTTTAGATTAGCACTGATTCTACTAGCTGTGTTAATGACTACTGTGTTTACACAATTTATTCAAATTGATTTTTCTTGTATTTTGCTATTTGTCTTTCTGAAAGCTCTTGCTGTGTTAGTAGGATAAATGGAAAATTTATGAAAACTAGATTCTATATTTGGCTTGGTTGCATCTTAATTTCTAATTTCTGACCCAGCCCTGGAATATGGAAAAAAATACTACATCATGCCCAATGTATTTGTTTTTCAAAGCACAAATATTGTTTGCAGTGCAAACCACTGAGATTTCAGTTTTGCCAGGGCAGAGAGAGCTAAGCTGCATCATGTTAGCATTATTTTGTTTACTTTATTAATGAAACTGCCTCAGAATAGGCCTGGATTTATAAACCGTGGCTCCTCCTGCACCTCATGTGCAAGTTTTTTAGGACTCCCCCACCCACCCCCAAAAAAGAGCTGCATGCTATTAACACCGATTTAGCAAAGTATTTGCACATTAAGTCTCCCTCTGCCCTTTACCACTGTGGTGTCTTTGACAATATGGTGCTTCCTTTGAATTAAGTTTCTTTGGCTAGAAATGGTGTTAAATAAGAAAAAGGCAATGAAGCCGAATAAGAAGGGATGCTCATTTGAAGTTGGCTGAATTTGGTATAATCTTACATTCTATGACATAACTTTATGAGAGGGCAACCTTGTATAGCTGGCACCTGTATATCTGGGATTACTTTATATTCCTTCTTTACGTATCAAGAACTATATAGTATTCCAAACATGATAATAAAATGTTGCACTATTTCAGGTAAAAATAGAATAGCTCAAGAAATGGAGTCAGGTGTTTCTAAAACATCACTTTACTAATAGAATGTTGATCAGGGCTTAGTTTTCGTTGTAGTTTGTTGTCACTGGCACTGCCAATTTTAATCTTTTGTTTGTCTAAGTTCACTGATGTAAAGTTTTGGGCTACATTCTTTGTCTTTACATGGTTTAAAATGATACATAATAGATTCGATCAAGACTCAGTCATATTAGAAAAGCCCCAGTAGTCAATGGATTGTAGGATAGTCGTGGCTAACTCACATCCTATTGATTTCAGCAAGTCAATTCCAAGTATGACCAAGTCTGGATCCAATTGAATGAATATGGTTGACTATTTGCTGGTTGTTTCTCCATTTACAGTGAATTGTTGTTGATGCTGAAGCTGTTTTTAATACTTTGCCTTTTGAATGGAACAGTGATACTGCATGCCATAAAAGTAACCTCCAGATAATTCTCAGTTGTTGCTCACTCAGGTCTCCAAGCTGGCTGGTGTCATGGTGAACCATGGTGTGAAGAAGGGAGACTGTGTTGTCATCTACATGCCTATGATTCCACAGACAATGTACACTATGCTAGCATGTGCAAGAATAGGAGCGATACATAGCCTCATTTTTGGTGGATTTGCATCAAAAGAGCTTTCTAGCCGCATTGACCATGCCAAGGTAACAAGGCATTTTCGCCCATGCTCAGGGAGGCAGTCTTATGATTACGCTTGTAAATAGCCACTTGGTACCCTGTTCTAGCCTTGATCCTATCCTTCCTACTTTCTACTCCCCCTGCCCTCCTCTTACCCCTGCCTCTGGCTTTTCAACTATGCAGGGAAACTGTTGGAAATGGAAAGGAGTTGGTTCTTCTTTTCGCTCACATGATTCAGTGTGCCTCAGATTACACTGAGCTTGATTCAAGCTCTATTAACAATACTTACCAGGTACTTGGACTCAGGGCCATAAAAAGTGGACAAGAGTCCAGGGAGCCAAGTCCAGGGGATCCATCAGATTTCTAGCCCTGATATGGATTCCCTCATGTCCCTAGAGGGAAGGCTACTGGGGGAAGAAGCTACAGCAAGCTGCAGAGTCCCTGATTCTGAGGAGTAAGCAAACAACCAACCCAGTGTAATTTCCTTTCAGGGTGGCTTATCATGAACTGGCCCAGTGAGTTGGATTTAGAACCTGATTCTACCATTGGTAGCATCCCTAAGTAGACTTCTTCTTAGAATGCTACCACTGGAGAAGTGGGTGGGGAAAGAAGGAAACTTGTGTGGATTCTGATTCTGCCTCTCTCTGCAACCATCAGTGCTACCTTTCCCTCTGCTCTGAAGAGTTTGCCAACCTTCCAGAGTGGGCTTTGAGATATGTAGGAGCCTGCAGGAGATGGAGGGAATTGGCACGCAGATTCAGCTAGTGGAAAAGCTCTGCTTGATCAAAAACCTCCTGCTGACAGAACGGTTCCTTCTGTCTGGATCAACCCATGATAATAATCTACCACAATATTGAATTCTGTTAGAAGTGGCTGCATCTCAGTCAATGCTTACCTGCTTTACTATGCTTTGTGCTTTAGCTGATTCCTGTTTTCCTCTTACTAACAGTCTACAAAAAGGTATTGGTGTAAACAGTGAAGTGAAGGAAAATGTGACTCTCCTCAGATGTAGCAGGAGATAATTCCCTTGAGTCTTAGTTACAAAATAAAGTTAGATTTGGTTGTTTTAGATTCTCTGCACTGTCATTGTGGTGTCTGTCTGTCCGTCCGTCTGTCTGTCTTTCTTTGTTCATAATTCTCTGTTAAGATTTTTCAGTCAGGAAGCTGTTTTAAAAGGTAAGTATGCAGTCACTCTTATCTAATCAAAATAATTATTTTTGCATCCTGCTTCGGAATACCACATGCACCGTATCATTGTACTGTAGTTTATCTTGAATTTTAAATAGCTTGGGGAATACTGCATAAAGCCGCCATTGATAATTGTTAGTCCTGTCAGGCAAACAGTAAAAAAAAGAAAAGAAAAAAAAAGGAAAAAAAGAGAACATTAAAGATTTCTGAAAGGTGAACAGTAATGTTGGCCACACAGACCTTAGTCATATCCTGTTTAAGGCACTCTGTATGGGGCTCCCTTTGGAAACATCATCTGGTCTAGAATGCTATGGCCAGACTCTTGACTGGGCTGATGTTACAGAGAATGTGACTTCCGTAGTCCAGCAGCTTCACTGACTAATAGTTTCTGGGCACAATCCAAAGTGCTGGTTATGACCCATGAAGCTCCACTTATAGTGTGGTATAGCACGGGACTGGGACTCAGGCAATCTGGGCTCAGCCATGGAAGCAACTGGGTGACTTTGGGGGAGTCACAGTCTCTCAGCCCAGCCTTCTCCACAGGGTTGTTGTTGTGGGGATAATATTGAGAGCAGCAGTTGGAGAATGATGTAAGATGCTTTGAGTGCTTTAAAAAAAAGGTGGGATATAAATCTAACAAGTAAATAAATAGAAAGAAATGCCTCTCCTTTTTCTGGAGAACTGGGGATTCTTTATCTGTGGGAAGGGAAATGTGATTTGCATTTAATTCCTCTTTCCAGTAACAGTTTGGAATCTTATGCATATACGTACGCCCATGTACATGAATTGGAGGTAGGAATATTCATTCATGATCTTAATCTTGAACTAAGCTGTGCAGTGTTCTAAAGAGAGATAAAATTGCATGTACATATTTTAAAAAATATATGTTAATTTCTTACACTTTCTTATTTCTTTAAGCCCAAACTGGTTGTAACATCAACTTTTGGAATAGAACCTGGAAGAAAAGTGGAATATGTGCCACTTTTAGAAAAAGCATTGGAGATGATAAAGCACCAACCTGAGAAAGTTCTGATTTATAGCCGCTCTAACATGGTAAAATTATAACAATTGCATGCTCATTCTTGGATCGCTGTTATATATTTTCCATGAATATTTAAAGTACAGTATTTCATTTCATGAGACTCAGATGGCATTTCATGATCGCTGCACTGACCCCCCCGCTGCTCCTTATTTAAAGCATATAATTTTATATATTTCAATGAGCCATTACAGTTCTTGTAGTTGAGAAAATAGCTATATTTGTTGCCTGTGTAAGGAAGACTTAATGATTTTTTGAGCAATTTTTCTCTCTGTTGAATGCAGTTTAAATGGTTGCTGTATACTATCCTTTGGCATGCAGGGAGCTGTTCCTCTTAAACCAGGGCGGGATCTAGACTGGCATGAAGAAATGGCAAAAGCAAAGCCTTGCGACTGTGTCCCTGTTCTTTCAGACCACCCGCTTTACATTCTTTATACATCAGGAACAACCGGCACACCCAAGGTGGGCTTTGTCTTTTAGTATGAGTATCTATGACCAAATAATCTTCTAGTCCATATGAGGACATACAATTAAAAGGCTGAAAATGATTTGCTCACTTAGTGCTTATAGGAGATTAGTGTTACTGGAGCTGGCGTTAATCGTATTGCATTACTCAACAATATTTTTAATGTTTAAATGTCAGTGAATATTTATTTGGATTCTCTCCCTCTCCCCACAAATGATAGAACATTCCCAGCCTACAGTTGCATCTTTCAAGGTATATCTTTAAGATTCTTGCTAGCTCCACTATGTTTCTGATCTTCACATTCTATTCATTCCCCTGGATGATTCCACACAACTTTGTTTTTGTGTTGTGTTGGTTAGGGATAAGATCAAGGAACTCAGCTCCTGTGTACTGGTGGCACATGGATAAAATGATGAAATGCACCATGTGAAATGTACTGTGTCTGCAGAAACAACAGGGACAGATAGATAATCTCACAAATAAACAGAAAACAAGAGGAATGATGATACCGATGCAGCTAAGTTGGAAAAGGATAGATGAGAAAGGGAAAGAGAATGCTAAACTGTCATTTTTCATCTTTTCATTTTCATAGACCAACCTCAGATGTTACCAAGAAGTGCAACAAGCTGAATGTGCAAATTATTTACACAAAGGGGTTTTTTTTTGTAATTTTCACAGGGGAAGATGTAAGAGGATACTCAATTTTAGGTGTGAAATTTATACATTTATTTAGCACATTACTATATTTTAAATTGTGCCAAGTGGTGCCAAATTTATAGTAGATTTAAAATGTACTGGCGCCAAGGTGCTAAAGGCCTTCTTTAATCATCTCATGCTTAGTATTTTTCTCCTGCTGTAATTATTTATACACTATTTATTTATTTATTTATTTATTTATTTATTTCAAACATTTTTATGCCGCCCCCATCACAACAAAGCCTCGGGGCGGCTCACAACTCATTTTAGTATTTATTATGACTTACTAGCTATTGTAAACATCTCTGCTGATTTTGATGAAAAAATAGTAATGTTATAAAGAAATTTTACACCTAAAATTTGAGCATTCCCGCCTTTTCCCCCTTTTGACCATCACAAAAATAATTATTCAGGCACATGAGGTTTCTCATAAATCATTCCCTGTTCTTCATAAATGCATCAGGGTAAGGAATCATGGTTGACTGAATTGCCTTGATTTCTGTCACAGAGGATTTCACCTTCAGCAAAACATCTGGGATTCTGAAAAAGATTCTGAAAAATGAGAGCCCAAGTTTCTGCATCTTATTATTGAAAAGTGAAGCTATTATCTGTCATTCTGGAAAGCTTTCTGCATTTAGGGGAGAGGTGTGCTTCTGCATGTTAAAGTATGGAAATATGGATTTTCCTTATGGGAAGACATTTCAGTGCATATTGTGTTTACATTGATGTTAATTTCAAATTGCTTCTTACTTAGGGTGTTGTTAGACCAACAGGTGGCTATGCAGTTATGCTAAACTGGACCATGTCGGCAATTTATGGCCTTAAACCTAAAGAGGTAATTTCCATTTATATTAAAATTCACAATTATGAAAATCAGTGTTTATATCTTTTTCTCTCTCTATTTTGTTTTTAGGTCTGGTGGGCAGCATCTGATTTAGGCTGGGTGGTTGGTCATTCTTATATTTGCTATGGACCTCTTCTGCATGGAAATACAACGATTTTGTATGAGGTGACTGGTTATTTCAATACTTGGTGTACTGATTGATTGCATTTGAGTTTTTATTCAGCTAAATAATCTTCTGAAGCAAGCTTGTGCCCCTAGCCCCAACACACCAGACACATTAATTTTAAGTTACTTAATGTGGGCTACCATTGCTAGTAGCCTAGTAAACCAGCTGGTAGTTAAATGGCCAAAGAAACCCAGCCCTCCCATGACAGTAAGAACTGGGGGAGCCACCTACAGTCCTGGATGAGGCCTGGTGGAAAACCATGGTTTTCCACTAAGTGATCAACCCATAGCAAACCTTGGCCTCATCTCTCCTCTTTCCCCTCACCTCTTCTTTTGTGTGCCAGAAGGGCAGCTTTTTAGTCTGATTTTAAACCAACTTTGGTTTCACATTACATGAGAATCTGGGCAACTGCAGTTTGTCTAATAAGTGAAAACAAACCAGAAACATTCCCACATGCCAGATGCATCAGCAAATAATCACCATTGCAAGCTTCCCTACACCCACACTTAAACTTTCATCAAAGACAGAGTGGATCTGCTGCTAAATTCCATTTTCAAGCTCATTGTTTTACATTTCAGCATAATGCAATTCCCTGTTTTGTTTTCCTTTTTCCCTTTGTGTGATGAGAACTTTATACTCCTTGGATCTTTGGTTTGGCATTTGCTATTGAAAGAACTCTGCCCTTCATAACTATAGCTCTCTAATTTGGCCCTCAGACAGCTAGAAGGAGCCCTCTCCATCTTGCCATCCATCGGTTGGCTGGCAATTTCCAATAATTTTTCAGAGAGTGAGAAAGTTGGGGAGTTGACTTGCTGCTGGATTCTTCCAGGAAGAGCTATAGCTGTGTATTTCAGTTTTGCAAACTTGCACCCAGCCCAATGTTTTGGGAGCTTTTAGTTCCCCTTTGCACTCTTATCCCCTAAATTTAAACTGAAAGGTATCCATACGAACCATTCAACTTAGTATTAGTAAGAAGACTTCTGTGTCTACCTTTGTGAAGCACTGTACTCTTGATCTTCAAGCTAGTCTTGATGCAAGCTTTGGGAATGGTTTCTTTAGTGGTCTGTGTGCGAGATTGTCTCCTTATCCCACAGTCTGGTAATGCTTAACAGCATTGTACACTTTTCTATACTCCTCTCTGTGGGGCTGTGCTGAACTGGAAAAAAGGAAAAATACATTTGCTGTGGTTCTTTTAAGTGGGTAGGTTTTTTTTTTTTTGCTTACAAAACTTGTTCTCCATCCCCACAACTGCCCCCCATGGCTTTTATTGTACAAGGTACCTGTTAAGACTTGTTCGTTGTCACTGCCAATGGAGGGAATAATGGAGCCTCCCCCTCACATATTTGGAAGTTCACTGCACATGGGTGAGGGAAGGGAGCCAACTCTCTTAGTCTTCCAGAGCTTTTGAAGAAATCCTACCTGTCACCTGCATGGCCAAATTTCTATACGTGAGATTACTCTGAATAACTATTACAAAGAATAGCAGTTATTGAAAACTTCTCTGTTTCCTAGTGTTGCATTTAGTTGATTTTGCTTGTCTGTCTGCTAGTATAATGTTGAGATGTACAAAGTCACTGCTTGTAAAAGAGGAGCTGTCATATGACAGGAAAACCCCGCAAGTCAGACTGTTTGATCCCAAATGCCTTGTTGTGATGCCCTACTTTGGAGAACTACACAGTTTTCCAGTGGAGGATTAGTTGCATTTCTTACATATCAAAACAATAGTAGAGCCTGCTCTTGAGCCTTGGAGAATAGAAAAACACCTTTAGAGCAGGAGGTGCTACAACGAGAGCCAACTTTATTGCATTGTTATATGGAAAATACGACAAATTCCAACCTAGTTATTTCTGAGGCCAATTTTTTGGAACATGGTTATCTCTGTCCCAGTACAGGAAGAAGACACAAATTGTCTTGGAGCCCAAAGATAGTCCTCATTCTGTCAGTGCCAGGGTTCACATTGGGTTGGTTCATTTTGCTCAGATGCATAGCCTGCTTCTATGCATCAGTGGTCAGAATTCAGACACATAGGCTCAGATCCTTCTGGGGTGTCCTTGGGCCAGGCATTGTTTTCTCAGCTGCATCTACCACCCAAGATTGTTGTGAAGGGCAGGGAATAATGCACAAGTTCCTTGGAAGAAAGGCAAGATACAAATGTAATACATAAATAAAGCAGCAGCAGCAATAGATATAAACAAACATTCATGTTAGCACAATTTGAAACTTTGCGCTTACCTTGTATCTAAATTTAGTGCTTTTTCAAGGGCATCACAAGACAGAATGGAGGCATTTAATGGTGCAGCAAGAGAACAATTTCCTTACTTCCACACACAAGGCATTTTAACAGTTGTTGCGACACCCTGCTGACAAGCAGCATTCAAAATTTAAAGAATTATGGAACACTTTTCTCCCAATTAGAGTTTTAAAACCAATCTCTTTGTAGGGGAAACCTGTGGGAACTCCAGATGCCGGTGCTTTTTTCCGTGTGCTGGCGGAGCATGGAGTTGCTGCCTTTTTTACTGCACCAACTGCAATTAGAGCAATCCGTCAACAGGACCCTGAGGCTACCTTGGGGAAGCAGTACAAGCTGACAAGGTAGGTTTAGATTACCCTGCAAGCTTTTTTTATTGACTCTTAGGAATAAGCCCCAGCTGTACATAGAGTCTGGAGTTCAGCCAGTTATTAGATGCTATAATAGGTTATGTGTGCACATATTTATAATGACTCAATTCACGTGTAAATAGCCAGATCATTGGAGACGTGCCTCAGGTTTGCATGCGTCTTCCTTGCTCAGATTTCCTCCATCCCTGAATTATCTGAGTAACTATCATTTGCTACAGTGTCTGAATCAGTCAAATTATACTTCACACCAGCTCTCCCCAGGCTGGTGCCCCCACCATATCTAGCTGATTGCAATTCTCATCATCCCCACTGAACATAGAAGCACCAAGTTTTCACAATTCTAGATTTTCTGCAAACAGAACTCGAAAGGGAGGGTAGAAGAAGGTTTCCAGTTCCAGTTTGGAATTAAACGGTAGCCATACTCACCCATAATCTGCAAAGAGGTTCTATAAGTACAGTGGATGCATGGCCTCTGCTCCCATGGTCCTTCTTTCTTAATACCTGTACATAAGCAAGAACTTTTACAAATGGGTAATGATACATGGATGTGGAGGGTGTGGGACCAGCACTACTACAGAGGGTCAGGCCCGTGGTGTTGAGGGTGCAGCCAGTGGTGTAGCTTCACTTGCCACTGTAGTTTTGAAGCTCTTACCTGAGGGAATGTGTGAAGGGCATAAATGTTTGCATAAAACCAGTGTTTGCCTGATTTAGACAAAATGGTAAACTGATTTGCCTCAAATGGAAGGTAGGGCGTTAGAACATTTGAGAAGAGGAGGAGCTGCATGTGCTGCAGGAATGCCTGTGAGGGCCAGACGATGATGTTGCATGTTCCTATGGTGCTGCTTATATATGAAACAATTAGAGTTTGTAAGTATCAGCCCCTTCTGTTGCCTACCAGAATATATCCCCTAAAATGTCTTGAGGGAGTCTTAATTAAATTGCCATTTTCATCCAGGCATTTCAGTGATGAATTTCAACAAAATAAGCAAAAACAATGAAAATCTCATGCCACCTTTAAAGATTAAACAAGTAAGTCTCACTGAGTTCGGTGAGGCTTAAGCTCTGCTTAGACACATGTAGGACTGCAGTGTAAAATAGCTGTTGTAGTACTCAAACACTAACATGCCTCTGATGAAACAGGATCCTAGTGTACTAACATAATCAGAAATCTGGTTGTTTTTAGCTTTTAGTTATGAGAATTCATTTTAGAATTGAGCAGAACTGTTAAGCTCCTGTACAATCAAACTGAATGCAGTTTCTTAAACTATCGTTTCTGATGGGTGATTGGAGTGAAGCCAGCATAAAAGCCTGTCCAATACATCCAAGTGTGCACTAGCAAAATTTCCTTAGCAAGGCGTGATTAACTTGTTGAGGTGGTGCATGTGGGAAATCATGCTGTGATTTTCTTCCACTAGCATTAAAGTAGGTTTACTATGCTGCACAAAGCAAAGCAGCTTGAGCAGCACCATACAAACATGCAGCTAATTATACTAAACGTAATATGCATTATTCTGCAGAACAAAATAAATTTCACTGGAGCTCCACTAAATAATTCATCTATGGCTGTTAAATTGCAGACCTAACTTCTATCCTCATCTGTTTTATTCACACTTCTAATTTTCCACTTATATTCAGGTACCTATTAACTCCCTTTTATGGTTTGCAAGTGCCCTCTGCCATTTGCAAAATGCTGCAATTTATCATGTATCTGTTCTGGGCCTATTTGTATTGCTTAACTCCTGGGATTGTACCATGGTGAGTTTGTGAGGAGGCCTTTGACTCCTCGGCTGCTGTATCAGCTGCTGCTGCAGCAGGCAGAAGTGAACGACTTAACTGAGGGGACCCTGCATTTTAATTGAATATGGTGCCTCAGTGATCCTCTTGAGAGGGAACTCGCTTCACAGCAGATTGCTGCCAGCTCAGAAGTGTTGCAGGGGTGCCGAGTGACAGCAGAAGAGGGCCTGCAGCACATGCCAATCAGCTTGGCAGGATGTTGTGCGGGGTGTGGGTGGGGGTGGGGGTGCAGAGTTGGCTACAAGGGAAAAGTAGAACATCCCTTTATAAGCGATAGAATGTTTCATGGCATCAGAATTGCCATGTTTCTTAAAATCTGTCGAGAAGTGGACTTGGCCCACAAAAGCTTATGTTTTGCAAATGTTGTTGGTCTTTAACTAAGCTGCAAGAGTTGTTGTTTTTAGCTGCAGCAGACTCTGGAAATTCATATATATATATATATTCCTCCCCCCCCCCCCCCCCCCCCCCCCCCCCATATATATGAAACGAGATTGGTTGAAACTTCCCTTCTCTGTCATGAATAGGAGAGTGGATTTTTTAAAGCAATGGCCAAGAACCATTCTATGAGATATAATTTGAGAATAAGTCGTATAGTTCATAACAACAAACACACAGTAACTTCATTTGTTGTGCATTTCCCTTCCTTTACTGGGGAGAAATGTTAAAATAATCCTATTTAATGTAGGTTCCGAACATTGTTTGTAGCTGGTGAACGCTGTGATGTGGATACTTTGGAATGGTGCAAAAAGATCTTCAAGGTACCAGTTTTGGATCACTGGTGGCAAACTGGTAAGCCTTGTACAATTAATGAAAAACATCAAATGTTTCCTCCTTCCTGACTGAAGTTTTGTTCAATTCAATCGAATTCTTTCTTACAGAAGGGGATAGTTGGGATTAAATGCTTCACTTGTCCATAGATGCTATGGCTACATTTTAATTTATTCTTTCCTTTGGGAACCTCTTATTGTGTTTCTTCCTGCTATTTTCAGAGGAGTTTTAGGTTTCTTCAGAGGTCATGAGCTTCCTTACTACTTTCCTGTTAAAAGAACAAAAGTCTGATGCATCACTGAACTTTTTGCCTGGCACTCATTATGTCTAGGCTAGACTACTTTAATGCACTTTTGAGGGCAACAAAAATGATCCAGGGTTTGGAAACACTGACCTATGAGGAGAGACTGAGGGAACTAGGAATGCTCAGCCTTGAGAAGAGAAGACTGAGGGGGAAAAAGATATCCCTTTATAAGTACCTCAAGGGCTGTCACAAAGAGGAAGGCCAGAATCTCTTCTTGCTAATGCCAGAGTGTAGGACACAGAATAAGCAATTCAAGTTGCGGCAACCCAGATTCAGGCTGGACATCAGGAAAAGCATCCTCACAGTCAGAGCAATACAACAGTGGAACCGACTGCCTAGAGAGGTGGTGGGCATTCCCACATTGGAGACATTCAAAAAGAACCTGGACAGCCATCTGAGTGGGATGGTGTAACGTGGTGTCCTGCAACAGCAGGGGGTTGGACTCGATGGCCTTCATGGCCCCTTCTAGCTCTACTATTCTATGATTCTTTGATATATAGGAGGTTGCCTTTGAAGAAGGTTCAGAAGCACCAGTTAGTGCAGAATGCAGCCATTCAAGCATTGGTGGTGGCAAGGTGGTTAAATCATACCAGTCCATTTCCAAGTCCAATTTTAAGTGCTGTCTTTGAAGGCTTTATCAGCTCAGGACCAAATTCTTTGAAGAATCACCCCTCTCAGTATGCTTGTGCCGCAAGATCAGCAGCAGAGAGCCTTCCTGCATGCCCCCTTTTGAGGGCAGTTAAGAAAAAATGTTTCTGCAGTGTTCCTCCTGCTAGCTGAGGTCTGACAAGCCCCATTATTGCAATCTTTTAGGAAGGTCATGGAGATTTAGTTGTTTCTTTTGCCTTTTCATGATAATGTTTTGTTGGGTTGTTCTGGACATTTGGCTGCAACTGTGTTTAGTGCCATCTGCCCTAGATATTTTTATTGCTCGTGTTTGCTCATTTGAATAATATTTGCTCTTTATCATTTTATGAAAATGTATTGTATTGTAAGCCATTTTGGGAGAGGGCTTTTTTCCTTAAAGACAGCATAGAAATGTTTTACACATGCGCGCGCGCGCGCGTGTACACACACAGAGAGAGAGAGAGAGAGAGAGAGAGAGAGAGAGAGAGAGAGAGCGCGATTCTTGTATTAAAGGGGATATCCTGTGCACAGATGTGCTGGGTCACAAAACAAGGGAAGAAATGGGGTAGGAGGACATCTCTACAGGGACCTCACAACATGCAGGAGAATCCTGCTTGGTAGGGGAGAAAGGCTCAGCCTCTCCAAAGCTAACTGTAAGCAAGAGTTACACAAGAACTCTGTCCCCATGCTGCCTCTTTGCTTGCAGCAAGGAGCCCTTAGCCACCTGGTCTGGCAGGTGGGCTGAAAGGAAGCCAAGTTCTCCTTGCTTGGTTGTCCTTGGAGGTAGTGATCCTCCGGCATGAGCTCCCTACTGCCAATTCCTTCAGGCAGATCTCTGTCCCATCCTGACCAGCTTCTGTGAGTGTTCTCACAGAGTGTTCTCACAGAGTGTTCTCACTTAAGTGTTCTCTGCTTTGGGCCTGGATGCCATCATGGGAACTTGAGCAACTTGAGGTCAAATGATGAGCACAGCTTCATGTATTTGTTCCTCGATGCCACTGTTACCATTTTCCCAGTAGCTTTGGGGCTCAGACACACTGGGTGAGTTCACACTATCATGATGGGAAAATAACCCACAGTGGCTTATTTTCCTTCACCGTGGATGCTGGTCATAAGTTGCCCAACAAGCACGGTTTCCTTGTCAGGCATGGTGTGTGGAGATGTTCAAACCTAGCATGGGTGGGTGGCAGGGGTGGCTTACCTTGCTGCTGTGGATCATGCAAGCTCAGTTGCTGTGGAGGCTAGACAGGCATTGCTGGCCCTCTCTTTGAGCTTGGAAGCCTACTCAAGCAGAGGCAAGTTGGTTCAGTCTTCCATACAGTGATCTGCTGAATGGAAACAACAGAGCCAGGTGCGCTGGACTGAAACAGAAAAAGCACCTGAGATGCTAGCATTCTCCAGAATTGACTTAATAGAGTCCCTTCATTCCAGTTGGAATAGAAGCATTCTGGACAGTCCCTCTAGGGACATTGATCTGGGAACTTGACAGCGAGGGCGTTGTGGGGGGCGGAAAGAGAAATGTCTTGCATGTTGTATTCCTCGCTCCCACATACCATGAAAGTATTTTTACGGTCCTCACTTGTTATGAATATGTATATAATTAACTGAGTAATCAACTGAAGATATGTAACAAACATATAAATTAACTCAGCAAATAGACTTTGCGTTCCCTTTGCATTCCCATGGCTTTGAAGTGCTTTTCATTTTCATGTCACCTGCACTCTTGCTACTGCTTCACCTGCTCACTGGCCACAGGATCTGTCTATCCAGTTATATGTCTCTGTTCAGTATACAGTTATTTGGTCCAGATACAGGACCTGAACTTGAAAGCAAATGCAAGGAAAAATAGATCAAGATAGTGCAAATCTATTTTGCTGATTATCACCTTTAAAGCCCTAAAAAGTTTGGATTCCAAAAAATTGAAAGAAATCTCCCCCTACCCTTAACAGTATCATCACCATCATGGCTGTTTTTCTCATTATTATGTAATGTATGTATTCCTCCTTTTCCCCCTGTTTATCCTCACAACAACTCTGTGAAGTAGGTTAGGCTGTGAGTCTGTGTCTGTGGCCCTGGGGGAGCTTCATGGCAGGTGGGAACTAGAACTCCAATCTCCTGAGTCCCAGACTGTTACTCTAACCACTATACAACACTGTGCATCAAAGACTTCAGAATAAGCCTTTCTCTAGCACTATCAGTGGACCAAAGGCACTATGCATTTACAACAGGCAGGGCCTTGTTTTTGGTGGTATGCTGCCTTCCTGGAGGAGATATAGTTGGCAGTAAGTGTGCTTTTTGGTGCTAAATCAAAATATTCTTTTTTGCCAACTATTTTAAATGTCAAATGTTTAAAGGATTTTCTGTCTGTAGGTCAAATACTTGTTATGTCTCTTATAACGTTATATTTAGAATCATGTTGCATTTGTCTCTTTTAGAATCCCTTGCTGTTGAAGACCAATTTATACATTTTTAGTTTGTTCTTACAAATTTCACAAAATGAAACAAAACAAGATACACTTACCAAACACACACAGAATCTTGTCCATGGTAGAAACTTCCTCAGATCTAAATATTTGAACAAAATGAAAAAAAAAAAGCTCTTTACCCAGCACTGAAAAGACATTATGGGTATAATCCTATACATGTTAGAGCATAAAATATGCACTTTTAGACAGAAAATAAGTCCTATAACTCCCAGCATTCCCCAACCAGTCATGCTGGTTGGAGGATGCTAAAGAATTTAGACCTTTATTCTGTCCAAACATATAGATGGTTGTGCTTTAACAGCGCTAGGGAGGGTGTGTGTGTGTGTGTGCGCGCGCGCGCACACACACATTTAGAAATAATATTTTACACTTTAAACAGAAACAGAGTACATGTCACCATAGCATGGAAGACTATGCTTAGGTGACCAGGGTGCCTTCTCCATTTGTGGTTCAGGTGCGCCTAATAGATGCCTTTCAAGGCTCAACTCTTTCTGGTGATAGTTTTGCCCTTCAGCTAGAAGACTGTCCTCTGTAAAGTAGACATGTGGCCACTGTCCTTATAGGCAGGGCTTTTTTTGTCATAGAACGCACCGGAACAGCGTTCCGGCACTTTTTTTTTTTTTTTGCAAAAAAAGCACTGCTTATAGGTAAGCATGTGGGTCAGATCAATACCACAGTGCATGGGGAAGAAAGGGGAAGGATTAAATCTTCTCTTTCATCTACTCCCTTCAAATATTTACCCTCTGCTGTAACATTTGTTATTAATGGAGGGGTTTTTCCCTTTGTTTTAACTTGCTTACTGGGTGTGCGATAGAGTTTGGGAGAAAAGTGAATGTGGGGGAGGTATAAAACTCTCCTGCTTGTCTCTGGGGGTCTCCATCGGAATCAGCCAACCCTATGCTTAGTTGTGAGTAAGTAAAACGCTGGAGCAGCTGCACACTACAAATTTAATGTAACATATCAATTTGCAGCATGTGGGACTGGCTTTCCTTTCTGCTTTGCAAACCCCAGAAGATGCTTCTACTCTCTCAGAGCCTTTTCGGAATCTCACAGTCTAGTCTTCCATTTTTTAACTTCCAGCCCAGAGCTCCTTCCTCCTCTAATGATCGTTTCGTGGACTAACTTGGAGCAAAGACCCCTGCTCCTGCAAGTGGCTAAGTCACACGGGCACTCTAGAATGATGAACTCAGTGAAAACTAAAAATGGAAGTGTGATTTTTCTTACCTCAGAAGTAAAGCCACAAGCGTGAAGTAGAAACAAGGAGTGGATTAATGATTAAGTAGTATTTGGATTGGTAATCATTTTTCTTGCTAGTGCATCTAGCATAAAGTATATTGGCCACAGTGTCTTAGTAGTCATCATCTATTATCATTTTAATTCTTCTCTGTAAACATATTTTGTCCTGCAGGAATTGTACTAGGTGGGGATTTTCCCCTTCAGGGTTAGGGAGCAGGGTGGAGTACATGCTGAATGATAAAGCACAAGCTTTGCTCGCAGAACGTCCCAGGCTCAATCCAAGGCAGCTCCAGAAAAGGAGGTGGGTTAGGAAATAATATTATTAGGACTACTACTATGATTATTACGTTTATTCACATTGCATATTT